ATCATATTTCATTCTTTTATTTTGATCATTTAATATCATTATCATCATTCATTCTAATTAATTATTCATGAATAAAAATATAATCATTATGACTAAATAAATAATTGTTTAATGTAAATTAAAAAATGTAATAATAAATATATTTCAAAAATTAGTGTAAAATTATTTATGCATTTTTTTTATTCAATCATAACATTACAAATTTATTTATTTTTATTTAATGATGTTTATATTTCAAACCAATAAACAAAAACATCACATTATGTTAAATTATTGATAAATTTATTCATTTATTTTTAAATATTTTCTATTTCTTTTATTTCAAAAATACATTTTTTATGTAAAATTAAATAAAATAATGGTTATGTAACAATCGATAAAATATTTTATTTTTAAAAAATATTTTGTTGTTTTTCATTTAAATTAAATATGTTGTGATGAAAATTTAAAAAAAAATGTAAAATTGTAGTTATTTATTTCAAATGAAAATGAAATATTTTTTAATAATAAATAAATAACTTCAATTCATCAAATTGATAAATAACTAAATGTTATGTTTAATTATTATTTAAACAAGTAACATCTAAACACAATTAATGAATATTAAACAAATTAAATTATTTATCAATTGAAATATAAGTGATTAAAAAGTACAATTTGTATATTCAAAATGAAGAAGAATATTTTGAAAGAAAATAATGATGCAAAATCAGAAACTAAAGAAACAAAATGAACATAATGAGAAAGTGATAATTGAGATATATTTATTATCAATACGCTTATGTTACAAGACACAGAAAGAATGAAAAGAATATATCTGAATAAATAGTTGATTATATTATAAAAATAAAAAAGAACTTTAAATAATTAATAATGTTTTGAATTTCAACAAGGTTTTCATAAAATAATATAATAATGAATAAAATAATATAGAATATTTTTCCAATATTAGACATTCAGAAACATGTTTATATCGTGTTGATCAAATTGTATTATTCTATTCATAAAGAAGTTCATGAAGAAAAGAAGAAAATAAAAGTAGATAAATAACAACAAAAATTATTGAAATTTTTTAATGGAATAACTGGAAAATAATAAATTTCAAATGTAATTTAATGAATCAAAAGATTCATTTTGTTATGATAATACACAAAGATAAAATAGAATTGTAAGGATGATGACAAGGAAAAATGTTATTAACATTAATTAATGTAGAATAAGTTGAAAAAGAGATAATTGATTATCATAATATTACTGAAGAAAAAGATAAAAAAGATAGAAACATTAAACAAGAAAAGCATACCCAAATAAATAAAAATAAAGAAATTGCAAAAAATAAAAGAATGAAATACATAGAAGAAATTAGTTATAATAAATGAGAAGTTGAAAGAACTGAAACTAAATAAATTATTCTTCATAAAAATCAACAGGAAGAAGAACAAGAAATGAATTAAAAGAAAGAAATAAATAGAAAACAAAATTAACAAAATATTTGTGTTTGTAAAAGAAGATATCGAATTTATTGAATAAGAAGAACTAGAAAATAATTTATCAGCAATATTCATCATAAAGAAGAAATAATTGAAAAGATAATAAGTATGTATAATGATTGAATATTATTATAAAGACGATATGATTCTATTTCTACCATATTTGATGAAGTAATTTAAAAATATTAAATAAATTAAAATAAAATGTGTTAGTTTATGTTTTAAATAAACAATAATTTAAATCAAATGAATAATAAATAAATGAAATAATTAATGTAAGAAATATGAAAATTAAATAATATTTTATTCAGTGAAATATTATTTATTTATCATTCTTTTTATTTCATTTTATTTAAATTACATTATTCTCAATAATATTCATTTCATTAATTTATTAATATTGATTCTTAATTAATTTGAAAATACAACAATGATTCATTCTTTTCTTATTCATTTGTTATTTCAACAACATTAAGCAAACAAAACAATGCATTCTATGAAATATCATACACAAAAATTAATACAATTCATGTTTTAACTCTCTCTGTTATTTTTTGGTTATAACGGTATCTTTGAATATGAAATGTATTAATTAATATTGCAAATTGTGCAACAATTTATTATAGTGAAATATTACATGTTGTAATGTAATACTAAGTATTTATTAAAAAAGAAATGAAGAAATATATATATGAAGGTGTTAACCAAGAAAAAGAATTTACTGAAGTGTGTCATAAAAGAAAACGAGGTAAGTGAATTTCATTAAAATTAAATCAGAAATTAGAACAAAGTCTTAAAAAGAATAGAGAAATAGAAAGAAAATTGAGAAGACTTCAATAAGAAGTAAATAAAAGAAAGAAGTGATTTTCTTGCACTCATATAAAATCCTAAAGAATATATTAAATAAAAAGATTATTCTTTAAAAATAAGTTCAGGAGTGTGACTAATCTCTTATGATCAATGAATATTAGATGAAAATTCTATTAACACTTAATTATCTAATTTTTTATTTATTTCATATTATTTATCTGATATTTTAAATTTATTTCTTTTATATTTTTCTTTATTTCTTTTTATTTTATTGAAACTATTTATTTGTTGATTTAAATATAATTATTTGTTAATAAAACATTAATTTTCATTTATTTTATTTCATATTCATTTTAAATGAAATTCTATATATTCATTACAATAATTAAATATTTTATCAATAAATAAAGAAGAAATAATTTAAATTACAATATAAATGAGAAATATTATTTGAAAATAATATAATGAATAAATAATAAATTAAGAATGAATAAATATAATGTCATTAATCATAAATCACAATTTATTCAAAATATAAATACATTAATAACAAATAATAGACACGAAAATAAGCAAAGAAAATGCATCTAAATAATTTACAAGAATGAAAAAAGATGAAAAATAATTTGAATCCATAGAATATTCCACTTATTATTTTTTGCTCCTAAAATAAAAATAAAGAAATATGGTAAATACAGAATATGTATATATTTATGTTTATCTTTTATAATCATTTCTATTCATTTTGGGAGATCCTTTTCCAATGCAGGAAATACAACAAATTTTAATGCCATGGCTATTGTGTAAAACCTTGGTGTATTGTAAAGAAAAGCAAACAAGACATAGAAATCTAAGGTCATACAATAAAAAAAAGAAATGTCAATAGCAATAAATGACATAACAATTATAATAATAAAGGTAAACGATACACCAAGGAAAAGAGGATTAGAAGAAGAAAGAAACAAATAAAAACAAAATACAAATATAAATGAATAATAATAATAACAATAAATGATATACAAAGAAAGAATAAAAAGAATAACAAGTGAATGGAATGAAGGAGAATACGAAGAAATACTTAAAAAAATATGAAGGTAAGAGAAAAAGATAGTATGATATTCTTCAAGAAGTATATTCAATTAAAAAGAAAAAGATAATTGAAAAACTAAAGAAGAAAATAAAGAAAAAACAAAAGATATTGAAGAAAAATCCATTAAAACAAATGAAGAAGAAATTAAAAACAAAATGCAATTAAAGAAAAGAATGATAAATGTAAAACTGCAAGAATAATAAATAACAAACACAATATAATGAAAATACAAGAAAAAACAAAGAAATAGAATTTTAATTGAAGTGTTGTATTGTTTTGCAATTAATTGGTTAAACAAGAAATTATATAAGAAAATAAGAAATGAACAAATAGAAAGTATAATAAAAGCAATAAACATCAATGTAAATAATGAAAATGAATATATTAAATATATTAAAATATCACATAAAATAAAAGAAAGCATTAAACAATACATTAAAGTGAAAGTAAATGATATAATAGAAGAGTAGAGTGTAATTCAATAATAAAAAACATCATATTAAAGAATAACTCTACAGAAATTGATGAAGAATATCTTAACACTCTCATCAATAAAATAAAAGAAATGAAAATAGAAAAATGTGCAAACATTAATTACTACTGGAAAAGAAAAGAAGCTGACCGATTAATAATGGAAATTAATAATAGATAGATATTATCAGGAAGCAGAATGCAGGATCTGCAAGATGGTATGAAGAGGATTTCAATGGTTATGCACCTCTATCTCCAAAATAAAATAATAGGAGATAAATTTGATGAAATAAAAGAAATCCTAAAGAAAATAAATAGACTAGAAGATTTGGTTAAGGGAAGGAAATGGTACAGAATAAAGTGCATCATGAAATTAAATGAACATGATGAAGAAGGAATAAAAGTTAAAGCACTAGAAAGAATAAAATACCTAAAATATATGATGACAATGATAAAAGAATTAAATTTAATAAAGATGAAAGGGTCAGAATCAATACAAATAAAATCATGTTTGATTCTAATAAGAAAATTAAAATGAAGAAGAAAGACCCAAAAAATGAAATATACCCAAATAACGATATTACTTTAGAATAAATGAAGAAAAAGACATGGAATTAAAGAATATGGTAATGAAAATAGAGAAATTAAAAGATATCAAAATAATTCCAGTAGTAATCTCAATTAATAGAATAATAAAGAAAGTATTAGATTAATAAAAGAAATAAAAAATGACATTGACATCGTTAAAGAAATTAAAAATGTGTCATTACAAACATGAAGGATGCCAATGAATATTGCTTCTCTTATAACCAAACATACTCCATAGAGTTACAAGAAGATGAAGACTCATTTGGATTAGTCTCCACTGATCCATTAATAATAGAAGCTAGTTTTATTAATACTTAATTAATTGCTTTATATTTTTTAAAACTCTTATAGACAACAATTCAATTAATCTTATTCAATCTCTCTGTATGATAATTTAACATTTATTAAATGTATTACTGTTAATTGAGTATTTACTCAAAAACAAAAGAAATAAAATAGAAATAATTCAAAATAAACATTTCTCTTCTTTTAATAACATGTTATCTTTTATCTTGTCTTTTCATTTATGAATAATTAAAAAATTAAATGTTAAAGAAAAACCGTTCATTTAAAACTTATCTAACAGTTCCATCAACAACTTCATCAACAGTTACGGTAAGTTCAGTATCTTTAACAATAAGTGGAACATCATTCGTTCTAACTAATCCTCCTTTCAATGAAAGATTCATCTTTCCAACAACATCAATTGAAATCTTCTTAGCAGAAATAGTAACTTTACCTTCTTTTGGAATAACTTGTGCTCCAATAGCAGCATCAGCACTTGGATGACAGAATTTAACTTTAGTACCATCAAGTGAAGTAGCAGCAAGAATCATAGCTTCTGATGCAACTCCTCTTAATTTGGATGGTTTTAAGTTACATACAAAAGTAGCTTTTTGATTTAATAATTCTTCTGGTTTATAATGT